GGAAGAAAGAGAGAAATCATGGAACAGCGAAAACCGGGGCGGAGGGAGAGCGGGGTGGGGCGGAGCGCGGCAGAGGGGAGGGGGAGAGGGTGAGCGCGCGCGAGAGAGAGAGAGCGTGAGCGCGAGGGAGGGAGCGGAACGAGAGCGGGTGGGAGGAGAACGATTTTTGCGCGGAGAAGACCGATAAGTTTCCCTCGTGACCTACCACGATAATAATACCGTTCTCTGCTTTAAGCTTCCTTTTGAATAACCTGTAGGTCACCGTATAAAAAGGAAACTTGTTGCGTTTACTGATTGTATACGTGTATATATATATATATGTATATACAGATATACAGGGCTCCGGGTACGTACGATCCGCATAGACGCGGCTGTGTATATACACAGAGAACGACGCCGAAAGAGAGAGAGAGAGCGAGAGAGAGAGAGAGGAAGAGGGAAAGTGTGGGGAGAAAGAAGGGAGACGGAGAAAGAAAGAGAAAGAGAGAGAGACAGAAAGGATGAGAGAACGGTGGTTGAATCGTTCGCGCGGCAGTTCGTCATAAAAACGGCCACGAGAGAGAGAGAGAGAGAGAGAGAGAGCAGTCCGGCTTAAATGAAGCGGCGCGAGGGTAGGTCGGTGGGCGGTCGTGAGGGGAGGGGAGGGGAAATAATAAAAGCGAAATGCACACGGCGATGCTCGTTACCGTCCGGCGGCGGGCGTCGCCGCGATCTAATTAAAATTACTCTCGGGCGATAGTTCCCGGAGATAGCATCGGTCTATTTAGCGAGCACGGAGTTAACTCGATAATTTGTGTTTTCGGCTGAGTGCCGATCGTTAAAGCATCTGCGCACCGGGAAACTGTGTTTCGACGATGAATGGAATTGAGCCCGAGCAGACTGAATCTCAATGTAGCTATCGTCTCGCACTTGTTGCAACGCGCGCGTCGCACCCCAAGCAGAAAGATAGGATCGACCCACTTCTATAACTCCCGGCTTTCTGATATACGACTGTACACAGCCGCCGCCGCCGCCGCCGCTACCTCCGCCGCCGCCGCCGCCACCGTCGCCGCCGTCGCCGCTCCGAGCATCCGTAAGGGATTTATGATAACGGCGAGCGTGACGACCGGAGAGTCGGCGGAGTGGGGGGTTATAGAAAGGACACACCGTGGACGATGTTTAACCGCCTATACGGTCGGACCTCCCGTATAGCGTAGCGCGGCCGCGTCTCCGTGGCGATCGTTCGGCAATTATCGTCACTCGACGCCGTTCAACGGTTCCCGGGAATCGTCGCGGCGTTGTCCCAGACAACGGGAGCTAATTAGATCGACGCCGATGAGAAAGCAAGACGGCGGAGAAACGCGAGCGGAAAATTCGGGAAAAATTGCGGAAAATTTTACAAATTTTCTACATTCTCTTTAAGCCTCTGCCACGAGCTTTTCGATTATAATTTCGCGCCGAGGGCACCGAACGACCGTCGTAGCCACGGCTGAATATCGGCGGTTCGCGCCGCCCTAGTTTTATCGAAAGAGGGAGAGCTAGAGGGAGACAGGGCGAGAGAGAGAGAGAGAGAGAGAGAGAGGGAAAACCTCGGAAAACCTTTCGCCGTGTTCCATCAGGATCCCCCATCGGCCGGTATCGTTTCAGTCCCGCGATACCCGGCGTACGTATGCTTGATACCTGCGCGTAAATTGCAAGCCGCGCGTATCACGCCGTGTACACGATACGTGTTCGACGGTCTGCTTTACGCCCGACGGGCGAACAGAAATCGATTCTCCCTCGCCCACCGGAGAAACCTATCCCCGGCTCCTCCGAGATAGAACAAGTCCGAAAGTCGTGTATCGCCGGGGAATGTCCGTGGGTCTTACGATTTTCGCCCGGCTACACCGAATCCGTCCACTCCTCCTCCGTCGTCCCCCCTCGCCGCCGCCAACCCTCAGGTTTCCCATTCCAGAGCCGCGCGACCTCCGCGCGTCCTTTCCGTATTTCTTTCGATTCCTCGGCTTCCACCGTAACTCCGGCTCGGTCAACGGACCCTTCCTCGTTACACCCTGATCTCTCTCTCCCCCCAGAATTCACCCCCGTCGCTCGCCCCCTCGCCACCACCCTTATCGCGGAGTCTCGTCTCCCGACGTTCGCAATTATTCCCACACCATCCCTTCGCAAACCGGAGCCCGTCCCACGGCCCGTCTTCTTCCATCCTCTCGCCCTTCGCTTCCTTCCTTCGCTTCCTTTGTCCCCCTTCGCCCCCCCCCCCCTAGCAGCGCCGCGGCAACGAGCATCACGCGCGTCGCAGGTACAGAGTGAAGGGGGGTGGGGCGAGGAGGGGTAAGGTCGCGTCTTGATCCGCGATTTATTATATTTTTACAAGTTTCCACCCTATCGGGGCGCGCAGTCACGGTTCGCTTCTCTCTCCGCTCGGCATCGGCCGCCGCGGCAAAGAATTACCGGTTCGGACCTCTCTTCCCGTCTTTTATCGATCTCCCTCGGCCGGATGGGATGCATAGGAAGAGAGGCCTGCGGGCTGCGATCGTGAGCGGGTCGCGATCCTTTTCACGCGGCCTGTTTTTCTCTTCCCTCCGCTGCTCCGCCCCGCCGCACCCCTCCGCCCCACCGGATCCGAGTCCCTGTGCTCTCCCTCGGCGCCCCTCGGGCCACGGCCTCGTCCGCTCGCTCGCTCGCTGCGGCCGCCGCCACGGTCCAAGAACAAAACGGACGTGGCTCTCTGGCACGGACACGGACACGGGAACACGGGGGAACACGGCCGGCGCGACCGTGTCTGTATAGTTTGGTGATCGGTCGCTCGGCCGGTCGCGTTCGCTCTCCTCTTCCCGTCAATAGGGTGGATAGATAGACGGATAGATAGATGTTGGGTTGGAAGGTAGGTAGGTAGGTAGGTAGGTAGGTAGGTAGGTGGGTTAGGTAGGTAGGTAGGTAGGTAGGTAGGTAGGTAGGTATCCCGCTTTCTCCGTCGCGCGAGTTAACTCCTCGGGTCGTCCGAGGCCCGCGGTCGTGGCATGGCGTGGCGTGGCGTGGCATAGCGTGGCGTGCAGCTATGTATTTACACCGTCCAGGGTAGCTCTCCTCTCTCTCTCTCTCTCTCTGGTCTGCCGTATTCTCTTCTGTCAGCCCCTGCACCCCCGATGGTCACCTCCTCGCCCGGTTTCCGTTGGTTCGCTCGCTAGCACGCTTGCTCGCCGCTATCTAGTACATAGGGCCGAAGTAGTCGGTCGGTCGGTCGGTCGTTCGCGTTCTCGCTGGCTGCCCTTCCAACACGCGGTTTCGCCTCTCTCCTTCTCGGGCCGGTTGCCGGTTCGCGCACGTGGTCTCTGTCTCCCGTGGGTCGTGTGTAGGGTGGCTCTCTCGCCAGAGGAGAACGCGATGGGAACGCGGCGGCGAACGAAGAGGACAGGAGAGGCAAGGGTGCGCGCGGGGGTATCGGCAGAGGAGAGAGAGAGAGAGAGAGAGAGAGAGAGAGAGAGAGAGAGAGAGAGAGCAGCACAGAGCACAAGCCGAGCCGAGGCGAGGCGAAGCGAACCGCGGCGCGCTAGCGAGGCGAGGCGAGCGAACCGGCGCAGGGATGGTGAGATAGAGGTTGGGGGAGAGGGGTTTAGGAGACAGCTGCAGGCCATGCGAGGGTCCGTCGACCAGGCCTGGCCGTTTACCGCGGAACACACAGCGAAGCGAGAGAAACCGGCGACGAGAGAGGGACGGGGCGATCGGTCGGCGAAACGAGGGGGAGCGAGACGACCTACTTCGCCGTTCCCCGCGACCCGCGACCCGTCGCCGCTACTCGCCCCCCGGTCGCCTCCGGTCTCCCTCCCTGCGCCGCTACCCGCGAACCCTCGTCCACGGTTCTCTTCGCTCACCCTGCCTCCCCCCCGCGCCTCTCCTCGCCGACAAGCTTCTCTCTCGCCACGATCCCTCGAGCGACCCTCGCCGCGCGCGTACACCGCCGCGCTCGCGCTCTCTCTCTCTCTCTCTCTCTCTCTCTCTCTCTCTCTCTCGCCCCCCTTGCCAACGACCGCACCACACCACCCGCCGTTTCGCCCCGCTCTTCTCCGCGCTCTTCGCCTTCTCGCTCTGTCCTCTCTCTCTCTCTCTTTCGCGCTCTCTGTCTCCGTCGACCCGCAGTCTCGATCCTCCGTCTTCATCCCTCGGCCGTTTCTGTCTCCCTCCATCGCGCCTCATCCCTCTCACCCCAGGATACCTCCGCCATCCGGCGACGGACCCGAACCCTTGGCGCCCCTTTGCTCTTAGCCGCGGATGCGAAAGCCGCGGTGTATATATACGGGGGCGAACGAGCGAGCCAGCGAACGAACCGACGATGCTATAGCGTGCCGCTGCTACGTAGCTTGAAGCAGCTACGGCCAAGTTCCCGTAACTCGCGCTCCGGTAAATTTCCACGGAGACCCTCCCCCTCCCCCTCCTCCTCCACTTCGTCCTCCTCCCGCCGCCGCCGCCTCCTCTGCCCCGTCCTCTCCTCCTCTTCCTTCCTCCACCTTCCTCCGCACCTTTGGTCTTGCTCGCTCGCCCGTGTCCGTTCTAATATCTTCTCTCCTCGCTCTCTCCCGAGGCCGTTCTCTCTTTCTCTCTCTCTCTCTCCCTTTCCGTCTATCCGTCTTGCATCACCCGCCACCCTCTTTATTCCACCTTGCCCCCTCCTCCCGCCCGCTTTTGTGCCGACACGGGGTGAAACCACCACCGGCACCGATCTTCGCGATTCTCTGCTGTTCTCGATGGTCTCTTCGACGTCTTCTTCGCTTCTCTCTGCTTCCTCTGCTTCGTATTCTGCTTCATATTCCGCTTCTTCTGCCTCGTATTTTGCTTCATATTCTGCTTCGTATTCTTCTTCGTATTCTGCTTCGTATTCTGCGTCCTCTTTCGCTTCATATTCTGCTTCTTCTTCCTCTTCTTCTGCTCCATATTCTGCTTCTTCCTCCGCATCTTCTTCTTCTTCTCCTGCTTCATATTCTGCTTCTTCCTCCTCTTCTTCTGCTTCATATTCTGCTTCATCTTCCTCTTTTTCCGCTCGATATTCTGCTTCTTCCTCCGCATATTCTTCCTCTTCTCCTGCTTCATATTCTGCTCCTTCCTCCTCCTCCTCCTCCTCTTTTGCCTCCTTTTCTGCTTCTTCTTCCTCTTCTTCTGCTTTGTTACGGCGACTTGAAACTGCCCCGTTGCAAGCAACTCCTTGAAAAATAATGGAAGATAGGGGTTGCCAAGGAAGCGTGTTACCAACAGACAAAATCGGGCAGTCGAGATCGGACACCGTTGAACGAGCAACATTTCAAATTGAAAGATCCGAAATATAATTGTACTGAGTTGTATTATACTGTATAGATATGTATTATACTGTATTAGATTATATTATACATTCTATTACTGTAAATAAAATGCCGCGACACGAGAGAAACGGAGCGATTCGCAACAGCTTCATATTCTGCTTCTTCTTCCTCTTCTTCTGCCTCCTTTTCTGCTTCATATTCTGCTCCTTCTTCTGCTGCTTCTTCTTCCTCTCCCTCGTCTTCTTCTTTCTCGATTTTCGATCGCTCGCTGATTCGCTCCGCCGTTCGCTCCGCCGTTCGCTGCGCCGTTCGCTCGGCCGTTCGTCCGACAACCCCTTTCCCTGTCTTCCTTTTCCAGCAGGCGTCCTCGAGCAGCCGCTACCAGGATTTCCACTTCGTTGGCGATTACGTGGGTGTCCAGGTAGGTGTGAGATCGCAAAGATACGCGCGCGGGTGGAGTGCACGCGGCAACAGCCGCGTGGGTGTTCGCCAGAAGGGTGGCTCTCTCTCTCTCTCCCTCGTTCGCTTTTTCCGTCCCGGTCCCCATAGGCTTGCTCCCTTTCGCCCCCCCCCCCTCTCTCTCTCTTATTCTCTGTGGAGCTATCGATTTTCCTTTTTGAGCAAAAATTTCGAAGGCCCGCGTTTCACGCGGACAAAAGGGGTGGCCGGCGGCGATCGTTGCAGGCCGCCGCTCCGCGCCGTAGAGAAAAGGGACCCAGGTATGCAGGCCCAGGTAGCCGCGCGGCGGCCCAACGGTCGCGCCGCAACCCCGGGGCCCGCTAATTCGGCGCGCAAACACGCCCCTACCGTTCCACGGCGCGACCCTCCGCAACGGGGCGGCGATGTATCTTTCGTGTTACCGTGGAGTTGCCGCGGCGAAACCGATTCGAAGTTTTCAAGAACACCACCGGAACAAAGTTCACGGGAAGTATGCGGGACGCCGGGATACAGCAGCGGCTGCGGGGGAGGGGGAAGCGGCGAGAAGGGTGGCGAGGGTGCGACGCGGAACGGCAGAGCGAGGGCGCAAGAAGAAGCAGCAGGACGTTCCCGGGATTACTTTCCTGTCCGATTCGAGGAATCCGGTCGCAATTAAAACGCTCCGAACCCCGGCCCTCAGTAATTAATACGATTTCGCGCGGGCGGAGGGGGATGGAAATGCGCGCCGGAGGCGTCGGCGCGCGAAAAATTGCGAAAACCCGTGCCCTCGGCACGTTCCTACCCCCCTCCCTCCCCGCTGGTCGTCTATTAGCGAGTCCGGGAAGAAGTCCCGGCCGAAATCGCGGCGACTCCGTCGACGTCGACGACGACGGCGTTCTCGCCCCGCGGCGGGATCCGTTCGCTCGATGACAATTTATTTAAATTAAGCTCCTCGGCGCGGGCTTCCGATCGTAAATCTACTCACGGCGAACCCTTGGCAACGTATTAAGCACCGGCACTCTCGAGGAACACGGTTAAATGGAAACTCGTGACAACGGAACCATCCACACACCACGTGGGGTAAAGGTGGCAAGGGCGTGCGCGCGGGCGCGGGCGCGCGCGCTTCCGCGCGCATTCGCGTGGGAGAGCGAGAGGGAACGGCGAACGAAAGAGAGACATCGGGGGAGAGATACATTTATGAATTGCCCCATTCACGGAATGCGAATTCTCGCTCGGCAAACTTTAGGGGTCAACGGGTCGGGAACTGTTAGGTAGTTCTCTCCCCCATTGGCCGTACATGCGCTCTCCCGGCCTCGTGCCTCCGTCTCGCTCCCGCCCCGATACAGCTCTCCTCGCCGACCCCCCGCGCCCCACCCCCTCTGCCACCCGCCGCCGCGCCGCAGCCGATATATCGACACTCTTTCGAAACTTCCGCCCACACGGCCTGTGCAATAACCCCCGGATCGTATTAAACGAGCGAGTTAAGAACTCTCCGGCTCGACTTTCCCCCGTCGGAACTTTCACCCCCGTCCGATTCGTGTTCGCCACCCGTCCTCCTCACGGATCCCCCCCGGTGCACCCGAGAGATGACCCTCGACCGCGCGTGGGAGGGTTGGAAGTTTATCACGGCGGATCTTTTACGGTTGCACCGACGATAAGGAGGCCACCGAGAGGGAGGGGGTGGGCGAGGGGGCAGGGGATAATCGTCGTTCAGAAGTCGCAGAGAACGCCGGCTGGGCCGGCCAGCCACGCTCTGCCATGCGGCGCGGGGGAGGGAGAGAGAGAGAGAGAGAGAAACGCGGGCATTATTCACTTTGCGGGAGCCGAGTCGCTTCTCGCGGCTGTAATAATTTTCTTTTTTATGAATGAACTTCGCTCGCCGCTCCGCGCTGTCTCTTTTTCTCTCTACGGTACTCGTTGTTTCTACCTCCCCCCTATTTCTCTCTCCCTTTTCTCTCGCTCTCTCTGCTTCTAGCATTTTTCTTCGTCTCTCTTTCCGCTCGCATCGTTCTCCTCTCTGTGCTCGTGCTACGCGTCTCGCGGCGCGCCGCACAATGGCCTGCCGGAGCAGCGATCCACGGTCAAAAGTCAATTTTGCCTATTTCGTGTTTCTGCTTTCGCATTAACGATTTTATGCGAGTTTCATTCTGACGGGTTTGCGAGCACCAAGGAGGAGCTTTGAAATTATATATAATTATATATAATTATATTATATATATATATATAATTATATAAAAATAATTATATTATATATATAATTATAAAAATAATTATATATTCGTTCACCGAGACACAGTTCTGTAGTAAGATGTAACGTTTGGGAAAAACAGGTGACGAAAATTTAAATTGAGGATTGGAAAGTTAAATTGAACATTTCATTGAAAATTTAGATTGTAAATTGAAAATTAAGTTGAACATTTCGTTGAAAGTACAAAATTGAAGATTGAAAATTAAATCGAACATTTCATTGAAAATTCAAAATTTAAACTGAGAAACTGAAATTCAAAATGTGGAACTAATTCTTCAAATTATTTATCGGAGAGTATCGCGGTGTTTGTTAAGTTCGTATCGTGTTATTATGGTAGCGAGTCGGTTATATTTTTGTTATTTATGTGTTGTGTATACATTTTTTTTATTGTACGTACAAACATTGCGACGCGCAAAACGGTTTAAATTTTGGAAAGGCGTACGGGGAAACCGTTGAAACCGCTTTTGTAAAATTAGATTTATTTTATATGAAAACTGATTCAATTTTTATTAAGGACGCGTCGATTTCAAGCGCAGCCCCCCCCCCCTCTTCACCCCGCACTCCACGGCTCAATGGTATTTGAAAAATAAAGCTCGAGGTGGGCAGAATATTCTTCTTAATTGGCGCTCAGCTTGTGCACACAAAAATGAACAATTTGGGAAGAGGAGATACGATTTTACTATTTATTGTTATTTTATAATAGATTTAATATTTATTGTTATTTTATAGTAGATTTACTGTTTATTGTTATTTTATAATAGATTTACTATTTATAGTTATTTTACAGTAGATGTACTATCTATAGTTATTTTATATTCGATTCACTATTTATAGTTATTTTATAGTAGACTTACTATCTATAGTTATTTTATAATAGATTTACTATCTATAGTTATTTTATAATAGATTTACTATTTATAGTTATTTTACAGTAGATGTACTATCTATAGTTATTTTATATTCGATTCACTATTTATAGTTATTTTATAGTAGACTTACTATCTATAGTTATTTTATAATAGATTTACTATCTATAGTTATTTTATAATAGATTTACTATTTATAGTTATTTTACAGTAGATGTACTATTTATAGTTATTTTATATTAGATTCACTATCTATACTTATTTTATAATAGATTTACTATCCATAGTTATTTTATAATAGATTTACTATTTATAATCATTTTACAGTAGATTTACCATTTATAGTCACCAATTGTCGACAACTACAAAAACGAGCCGCAAGGCTCGAACAATCGTTACATAACCTAAGTTCACTGAATTTCGACGCCTGGGCAAGTAGTCAAGCCATAAACGCGCTCGTCACGCAATGCTCGTATCCGTTCGAAAGCGAAGCACGATTTTTCAGACGTTTCCGATAACCATGCAAAAAAATGTCGCCCGTGAAAATTCCTCGGTATTCATTTGTCTACAAATTAAAATATAAAAACTTACAGAAAGTTCTCTTTTCATAAAAAACGCCGATCGCCTCGACTTTTCGAATATCAACCCATATTTTTGACTCGATAATATCCTAACTGGTGTCGCGACGAATTCGACGAGCTGCTACGCCATAACCTTAAACGTTGAAAAAGAAATGTCGCCCGCGAAAGTTGCTCCATATTCATTTTTCTACGAATTAAAATAGAAAAACTTACGGAAAATTCTCTTTTCATAAAAGACGCCGATCGCCTCTATTTTACGAATATCAACCCATATATTTGTCTCGAGAATATTCTAGCCGGTGTCGCGACGAACTCGACGACTATACCATAACCTTAGACGTTGAAACAACGCTCGAACAATTTTGGCCGCGGATCGCTGCTTCGCCGGGCCGCGCCGTGCGCCGCATCGACTGCGCGGGACGCGAACATTCGTCTTCGTCAAAGCTAGAGGTCCGGGGGTCTCTCTAACGGCTGGCGTGCGCGTTCTTGCCCCGCGATTTCTTTTCCACGATTTTCCGACGGTCGATTCGATCGCACGCCCGGGATGAGTCACGCCTTAATTTCGGCGCTGTTCGTCGGAAGCCGATCGGGAACAATGTCCCCCCACAGCGAAGGGGTTCGCCGCGCAGAAATTGATCCGATTCTGCCCGGAAAAGAGTCCCACGATTCTGCGGCTCTCGCTGCAGCATGATCGCATTGCTATGTGTTAATTATTTCTTTCGTACCGTTGTAATTTGATTTCTTTACTGTCACGTTCAATGGGATATTCCGATGCGGAACCGACAATTTTAAGCGACTTTTACGGTAACGAATGGTTTGGATTTTATTCGTCCAGCGTTTTAAAATTTTGAATCTGTACGTTTGGTTATATTTCAAGAGTTTGACCTTTTTTTTGGAAAATCAGATAATTTCATAGTTGTCTTTAAAAGTCTTTGAGAGTTGTCAAGAAGTTGTCTTTGGTATTATTAACGTTTATGTGTAATTATCTTGTGAACTAGGCTGATGCGGAAAAACATGTTTAACTGAGGCTTTTACAGAAGAACTAGTCGCATAAAAATTATGCCACTTAATCTTTAAAAAATAGCCAAATATCTACACAGAATTTTGGAAATATTTGACCAATGAAAACTAAAGTATACTTTATCTCGAAGATCGTTCGAAATGGTCGGTAATAATTATCCAATAATTATCCAATAATTATCCAATAATTATCAAATAATTAGGCAATAATTATCCAATAATTAGGCAATAATTAGACAATAATTATCCAATAATTAGACAATAATTATCCAATTAGCCAATAATTATCACTGAAATCGATACAACTCGAACAACGATAAAGGTTTCATGCTGAAATTTTTACTAGTTTTCGTTCACGGTGTTTAAGAGAATTGGATACGGTTTTTTTCGATCCGATTCTTTTTTCAAGAAAAGACAAATTTTCTATTAACAAAACAATTAGTTGGCAAAATAATTTTCTCATCATTCGATGAGAATGATCGTCCATTATTGAGGCCATTTCGAGTCCATTTTTCAATTAGGGAGAATTTATTGTATATATAATGTCGCCAACCGTCCGCTTGCGACGATTATTTAACAACCCCCCAAAAAATTGCACCGCTCGATCGCCGCGTCCGCGGCGCAATAACGAAGCCAGCAACGACCTCAACAATAAATAAACGCCTTTTTTTTCTGTCCTTTCCGTATCTTCGATTCCAAATTTCCCTCGCGCCCTCTCAGAAAACCGAAAAACTATGCCACCCCCGCGAACAAAATATCACGAAGCTCGAATCATATCAGCCCGTGATTCGCCAAAAAGACCAACACCTGTTGACATCCCCTCGAAACAATACAAACCGCCTTAAAGCTCAGAGTAATCGGTGCAAGAAGCCGCGCGGGGTTAAAAACGCGCTGGAAAGCTGCGTCGATAGAACGCCGCGAAGTTTCCGCGAGAAATGCGACCGGTTGCCGGATTCCGTGGATTATAAACGCAGCCGAACGGGAATTGCGGATCTCCGCGACTGACACCGAGAGAGGATAATCGAATGCGTGTCCGAGTGGCGGATTCCACGAGCTTCAGTTTGTCCCCGGGTTCATATATAGTATTGGGTTGGCAACTAAGTAATTGCCGATTTGTTCAATGAAATAAAAAATTCTTTTTCACTTGGAACGAAGTTTAATCTGTAATGTATTTTCCATTTTGTTCGATGACCTTTTGCCATCTCTCCGACAACTTGAAAATTCCACTCTCGTAGAAAGTCTGATCGTTTTCGGCCAAAAACTGAGTTAAGTGAGATTTTACAGCGTCATCGTCGTTAAAAGTTTTACCACGAAGGGAGTTGTCCAGGGATCGAAATAAGTGGTAATCCGATGGCGCGAGATCAGGGCTATACGGTGGGTGTAACATTAATTCCCAACCAATATCCATCAATTTTTGCCGAGTGGACAAAGACGTGTGCGGCCTAGCATTGTCCTGCTGGAAAATGACACCTTTACGATTGACCAATTCTGGTCGCTTTTCCTTGACCGCTGCATTCAATTTGTCCAGTTGCTAACATTCACGGATAATAAAAAATAACATAATAATAATAATAATAATAATAATAAT